TGTGTTCTTGCAATGAGTAAGTGCTTGAGTGTAGGCCCAATGTCCATCTGCTGCCTTAATACTAAATCTATAAATATATGCACGTAGATCTGTTTCACCACACTTATATAAATATTTTTACATATGTACATTCCAGTCTTAAAACCTTTATACATACCCTTTGTCACCTGGTTCTTTCCTCTATTTCCTTTTACTTTCCTCTTGTCCCACTATCATGCTTAGCATTCATTTGGGTTTCAGTGACCTCTCTCAGTTACATTGCCCTCACTGAATCCCTACCAGGTCTCTCACACTCTCCTTGTTACTGATTTTGGATCACTTGTTGCTCCCCTGTCCCTAGGCTGGTCAGCACCACCTCCTTACCTCCCCCTCCCCCGTGTCCCCCTGGAACCGATGGTCTTGTTTTCTCCTCCAGACTATTCATCCAGTCGATCTTATCTAGATAGATCTGTAGAGATCATAATATGTTTAAAAAACCAAGCCATAGCAAGATAGGCGATCACAGTGAGAACACACAGCGATGGCAACAAAAAAGGAAATCAATTACCCATAGAAGAATAAATCAATAAAAGAAGAAAAGTTTTAAACAGGAAGAAAAACCTGTATATAGATCAAGGTCTGATTTTTGATCTTGAGGTGTGTCTTTCAGTCAGGACGGATGGGGTACCATGCTCTGGCCCCAGAGTCTGTCCTTTGTACTCCCTCGGGGGCTCTCTGCTCTGCTCCCACGTTGCTCTGCCGCACGCTTTTAGTGGTTTGCCTCGGTGTCTCAGGGTCAGTCCTGACACTGAGTCTCCAGTGTTGTCCCCCTTAGAGCCCGGGGCCCTCAAGGGACGGTGTGAATCGTGGTGGGATCAGCCATATTGTCCACTGTCCATTGGCTGTTCAGAGTGGATATGTCGTCCTCCAGGCCTGGTAGGTCAGGGTGTGCTCCACTTTCTCGTCCTCCCCCTAAGTGCTCCCATTTGCTCCCCTTTTTACTCGTTAAAGAAAAAGATCTAATTTTGCAATTCACTTCACTGATGCCAAGTTGTAAATGACTATGTAGCTCAATGCTAACATGTCAAAATGCCAAAATGATTACATTCTAAAAATAATTTGATAAACAACTTGAAGTAACAATTAAGGAGATCATGGCTATAAATAAAAGCTATATTGAATTGAGTATTAATTTTATATTAAGTGAACTTGTGCCTAGCCCAAGTGAGCATGATAATATAAAGGGCGGAGAAATAAAAACTTAAGCTTCCTTCTGTTTTCTTTTCATCTAATATTCTCCATTTTTGTAGTTGGCAGCTCCATGTATTACCCATGATGCCACCACAGCTCCTCTTATACTCCATGTTTGATAGGCGTTCTACACGTATGATTGTGTCCTTCCAACCATACGTCATAGGTTGGAAGAAATAGGTGAAGAAAGTAAGAGTCAGGGAAGTTAAATAACTTATACAAGCTCGCATCTAGTGAACAGGTCAAACCACCACCCCCCAAACCATTTTATTAGGAGATAATCCAGACATCATACCATTCCTTAGTTAAATCATATCAACCAGTGTTGTACAATCACTACCATCATCAGTACAATGTTTTCTTTCCCCTGTAGCACTTTCCCTCAAGGCTATTACAGGGTAAACTGTTCACTGTAGGCCCATCCCACAAAACTTTAAAGCTAAAATACAAATAGCTAAGGACATTTACTACACAGCTTTCCCCACCCCCACCATCCCCGCATGCCCCCTCCCCACCCCCAACCACATACAGTTAGTGCATCTGGTGGTTTATCAGGATACTATGACTTAAACATAGAAATAAGATAGGGAGGAAACTACATCCATAAAGGCACAGAGGTAAAATGGGGAGACCTGAATATATCTGAATATTACGAGGGGTACCCCCAAAAACGTAATTTTTTTTCAAAGCTATGTACTTAAAACTTTTTTTTGGTAACAAAACAACCCTATCGACTTCAAAGTACTCTCCATTACACTTAATACATCTGTCAAATCTGCGATTCCATTCTTGGAAACATTTCTCAAACTCATTTGTTTGGATGGCTGACAGCACCTCCCTCATATTTTTCTTCACGTCTTCAGCATCATCAAATCGCTGTCCTTTCATGTCCCTTTTTACTCACCAAAACAGGAGTCACAGGGAGCGAAGTCAGGTGAGTGAAGTGTTTGGGCAAGAAGGTATGCTGTTTTTTGTCCAAAAGTGGTGCAAAGATGGCTGCATGAGCAGGTGCATTGTTGTGGTGGCAAATGAGTTCCCCAACTACCGCAAATGAGGCCTTTTTTGGGCGGACTCTGTTAATCTTTTCAGAACCTAAGTACAAAGTTTGATTAATAGTCTGACCTGGTAGAACGAACTCAAATGCACAATCTACCTCACATGAAAACAAAAACACGTTTTGATCTTTGATTTCACTTGAGTTTTTAGGGGGTGAGGTGACGATGGCATCTTCCACTGGCTTGACGGAGTTGAACTTGTAAAAATAGCACCATGTCTCATCACCAGTAATGACCCTGGGGAAAAAGTCTGGGTCACTTCAAAGAGATGATCTTTGAAAGCACGGCATGTTTCCACTGGACACTCTTTTTCCTAGTCAGTCAGCCCCGAGGCACAAATTTTGCAGCAACCCTTCTCGTTCCCAAATCTTCCATTAAAATTTACCCAACAGAGCTCCAAGGAAGTCTAGATAACTTTCCCATCTCTTCAATGGTCCATCATTGGTCTTTGAGCACAAGTGCACACATTTTGTTAACATTTTAGTTGGTTCAGGAACTTGATGGACTACAGAATGAGGGTTGTCCTCAATTGACACTTCACTTTTTGTGAAATCAGAAAAATACTCATACACTTGAGTTTTTCCCATAGCGCTGTCCTTGGAAGCTGTGTTCAACATCACAACCATTTTTGTGGTATTTTTTCAGAGCAGAAAACATTTCACAGCCACACACTGTTCTCTTAAATCGGTCATAAAAAAAAAATGAGGTTCGAGGAAAACTGCTTTTATGAAAAGATTCACTGAATAGAGTGAACCTTCCCAGGGACGACACTAGATGCACCGAGTTGCTTGCCTGATGGGTAAGGGGGTGGGAGGATATGTGTACTACAAAAGTTCCACCCAGCAGAGCTTTTTTTCAGTGTTTTTTTGTACCACCCTTGTATAGTCTAGGGCAACGGTTCACAACCTGTGGGTCACGACCCCTTTGGGGGACGAACAACCCTTTCACAGGGGTTACCCGATTCATAACAGCAGTAAAATCAGTTATGAAGTAGCAATTAAAATAATTTTATGGTTGGGGGTCACCACAACATGAGGAACTGTATTAAAGGGTTGCGGCACGAGGAAGGTTGAGAACCACTGGTCTAGGATGTTGCAATTGCTGT